TGATGCAAAGATGCCTCCACGCATGCCAATCTACCCTTCAGAAAGCTTAGTTCCTCAGTGAGCAGTGCATTAGATTCTGATAATCTTATACAGTTGTCCTCTGCACTGTCAGTCCGACTTTCAGCTTTTAAAACCCTCTGCTTTAGACCCTTAATCACACTTTCCATGTCATTGATTGTAGAATACAACATGTGTTGTTTCTCCAGGCTAGCTTCAGCAGATGCCACTGCATGCTGTAATTGGGTATCAGATTCCCTTAACTTCCTCTCAAGTGAATCCACTGTCTCTGAGGTAATGCCAGTGCTTTTAAGAAGTCCGATCTCTTCATTAAGTTCCATATTAGTCTCTGTTAATAATTTGCTTTTGGCTTCTGCATTCTCAGCCCTAGTTTCAGCTTTTGATACTTTCTCTTTCAGATCTGTGATAACAATTTCCAATTCACTAATGTCTGAGCATAGAACAGTATGCTGTTCCTCAAGTGAACTCACCTTCTCTCTCAAAGTAAAGGCCTCAGAATCAGCAAGAATTAACTTATCTTCAGCTTCCTTCAAGCTGTCTTTTAAGCCGGCTGTCTGATCTAAAAGGAAGCTATTTAGTTTTGCATTGCTGCTTTCAAGTTTCCGCAAAGAGCTTTCTCTGGATTCAACCTGACCATCAAGCTTCAATCTTAGTTCAGCTTCCCGCTGAACTGAACCGTTTAAGTTAAACTGGAGAATATGGAGTTTACCCAGTAATTCTTTTGAAATACCCATAAGGACCTCAGATGCATTATCTGCCTGTAACCACCTCTCCCAAGCATCTGCTGCCTCCTCCTCCATGCAATATGCTTCTTGCTCTGAAGAGAGCAGCCTCAGTTTCATATCTTCTTCGATTTGTTTTGATTCAGTCAGTTTCTTTTCAAGATCCATCTCTCTTGCTAAAGATTTCTCCAGCATCCTCAGTATATGTCTTTGCTGTTCAACAGTTTGCAAATTTATCTTTACATTCATGCTCGAGAACTTGTCATCCTCTAAATGGACCACTCCTTCGTTAGTATTCCCTGTCAATATGCATGGATTAGAATGCGAAAAACAAAAAAAACAAAAAAAAAAAGTTCTAAGCTATAATATTTCATGACTTATGCCTGCACAAAGGTGGTTATAAAACCTGTCTGCCCTACACCCTAAAAATTTACTGGCAACCCCATCATCCATAAGCACAATAAGAATGAGAAAAATATGATATTGACAAGAAAATCAACAACAAAATACTGAATCACGCTTGTAACTTACAATTTTCTTCTCCATCAAAACATGAAAACGTCCTCTGGAACTTCAAGGATTGCATCCTTATTTCTGAGATCTGATCTTGCAACTGCTTCAAAGATTGTTCAGAGTCACACAGCTTGTCTTCTACTACCGTGAAAGTTTCTCCCAAACATGTGTATAAAGATAGTAGTCCCTGGGCATTGGTGATCTCTGCTTGAAGTATAGCCATGAGTTTATCCAATTCACTCACCTCAGAGTCCAAAATTCCAGACAAGAGAATGAATTCCATAGCCTTCTCAACAGAATCTACTGATGTCTTCTCTTCCTTGGAAGCAAGGGCTTCAAAGTCACTCTCCTTGGTTGCCACATGCATCATAAGAACATTTAAGTTAACTAACTTCTCAGAAGCACATGCTAGATCCAATTCCACTCTGGTAAAAACCTCGCCAACACTTCTTAATTCTCCAACAATCACACCATCAGATGAGACACTTTCGAGATTGCCAACTTTACTCGAATCCACTTCTGGGTCATCAATATTAACATCATTGACAGATACACTTGCTTCAGGAACACCATCATAATCCATTTTAACGGTGCACTTGTTAAAATGGTTCTGAAACCTGAATATCAACATAACTTAAGTTTGTTACAAACAATACACACGAAAATGTAGAAAACTTCCCACAAATAAAAAGAGGAAAATTTTTATGAGCTCGAAGGACATCTTCCAAAATCCAAAATCAAGAACCCAAATACCCATTAACAAAAAATCTAAACCGCACAAAAGGTATGCTCAGTGATATTCAATACTGACTGCACATCATATGTTCAGTCGTGATTTTGATTGAAAATAAAAACAATTAAAGTTCCATGATTTACATTCTTTCTAAAACTCTTGATGATTGAAGAGCATCAGATTTTATAAGGCTCATCGTAAAGTATTCAAATATATCAAAAAGAGCCCAACCATATTCAGACGCACATATTCTAGCACACCCATCTCCTACATTCCACAATACAAACGAAATCTAGGAAATGGCAGATATAACAACACCATCTGCTTTCCAGTCTCAGCAAACCCATACAAACAAAAAACAGTAAGAAAGCGGAAAGCAAGCTCGTACCTTTAGAACAATTTTCTCGGCTTCTGTTAGAGCTCCCAAAGGCAGAAAGACAAATACAATATAAAAAACAAACCGTTTAAGGAAGAAAAAAAAAAGATGGTGATGGACTTTGCATTTTGCATGATACGTGTTGCGCGCTTGTTATTTTGGTCTCAATTTGGGTCGGTGGATATTGAAACTATGATATTGGGCCCTCCAAAGCCCAAAATTTCTACCTAACAAAACAACGTTGATCAGCCCAAAACTATTTTTTTATTGGTATATATATTTGACCTTTTTATCAGAAAAACTAATTGCTGTTTTATTTTTCTCTTTCTGATACAAGAATATTGGGTGAGTGGGGATTCGAACATCTGACTTCTGGTACAGAGATTATTGCTTTTAATCACTTGAGCTACTAGTCCGTTGCAATTGCATATTTTTTTATACACTATGGTGGTCAAGCTAACGTGTAGGGGTGGGCATGTTTCGGATTGCATCAGTTTCACTGCAAAATCACGGCCAAATCAATTACAATATAAAAGTTTAGTTTAGTTCGATTTTGACAAAAATCATTAAAGAAACCAAACTAAACCAAATCAATTTAAAACGGTTTGGTTCAATTTAGTGGCCATGCTGACGTGTATGTACATCGACATGCCCAAGATCAATATAAAATATTCACTAAAATTTAACAGAGAGTGAGAGTCTGACAGATTAAAAAATGTGAGTGAAAAATTCTGCACCACTCCTTTTATTTAATCTATTGATATTAATATCAACCAACCTTTCCGAGTCACACTTCTAATCTTTGAGTCACCGCGTCCCATGATGAAAATGGTGGGCCAACCAGTTGGTGGAATATCGGGCTCATGGGCCCACTTCCTAAAATCCAACCCATATAATGCTAAATTAGATTTAAATTGTTAATGGATTTTTTTTAATATTGACTTGAATCAAACGAATAGATTTGCAATCTAATTCTGTCCACAATTTCTTTTTCTTTTTCTTTTTTTATTTATTAATCTTGCTCACTAATCACAGATTAGCTGATGTGAGAAAGAAGAGAGGAGGAAGTGCCTAAAGATTCCTTTTACTTGCTGCATCAGCAAATTTTACACCTGTTGCAACCACCACCGCATAATTATATTATATTAGCTTTATTAACCTATTGGTCTTTTTATTTTATTTTTAAAGGTAGTGTTTGGTTGGTGGGTTACATTGTCATCATTGTCTAATTACTGTGGTTAAGTGGGTAAAATTTGAGTAAAAGTGGGTTATTTTGGGAGCCTAAAACATGGTTTCACCAACACTGACACTGGCAGGCCGCATACATGAGATTTCCAAAATTGAAATGACACTTCTTGTTGGGAACACTGCCTGACAATTTCTAGGTTCCCTGATCTTTGTAATTGATGATGTGTGGTTTTTAATTTTAGTGATGAAATGAACCATTGACTTGACTAAAAGAAAATAATGATCTCATGACTACTTCTTAATGACAATAATGATTCATATTAATCACTTGCATCACACGAAATTATTTGATATGACGATAGTTATGTGATCTTACAGATTTACTTAAATTACAATAAGTTTCGAGTTTAATTTTACACTTCTAAAATGCTTTATCAGTATAGCATAATGTGTTACCATAACATCGAATAATTTATCTCACATACTTGTGTAACTCCTTTTATATAAGCGCATAATTTTGATGTCATATTTTGTTGGAAGTGGCTTAAGGTTTCTATAGATTAGATTAGAATCATGCATAGGTTAATCAATTTCATCTTTACACCTTGGATGACATAAACTCTAACATTTTATAATTTGTGGCTCACACTTGCTCCAATATTTACAAAGAAAACACTATTAGCATAATAGTAAATTTCTCCTACGCCTATATGTTAATATCCTAGGTTAGGTAGTAGAACCATTACACTAAAACCATAAAAACATACCAATAAGAAAACACAAATTCTTACTTTGGAAATCCCCAAAATGGTGTAACCAACCCTAATAATATGAGGTGAACCTTTTTGTTTTTTTTGTTTCAAATATCTGAACCTTCTAAGATATTTATTTTTTCCCACATGACATTTCCGGAAAATTAATTACTCCCAAATCATTTATTGGCTTCTATTTTTGTTCATCTTATCCATCTAATTTTCTCACTCATCAAATCATTTTCAGGCTTCTATTTTTGTTCATTTTCTTCAACTTTTCCATCTAATTTTCTCACTCATCAAAGTTTAACCCGTCATAATAAAATTATTGTTGTATTTTTAAATATATATTTTTTATAAAGAAAAATAGATTTGTTACTTGAAAGAGTATGCCTGGAAAAACTTATATGGGAAAAAAAATATTAGAAAGCCGATGAACAGAGCAATGGCAGTAAATTGTTAATTAATAGCCGATTTACGGTTTGCATATTATTATCCAATTGCGAAGCTTCCTCTTTTGACGTAGACATCTGCGGACGTCTTTCCTTCTACTCTTATAAAGTCCGTAACTTTCACACCAAAAGCGACAAATTTTACAGTTTGTGGAATTTTGTGGATTAGGGTTTTCATTGTCAATTTCATTTCACCAATCCACAATAATTCCACAGACACCAAAAGAAAAAGAAAAAAAACTTAACATTATTAAATTCCAGTCTTTGTCTCCACCTCCATTATTGTTATTCAATATCAAGCTTTATTTGCGTGTGTCTCTCTTTCCTTGAATTTTTTTTTGGCTATAAAAATCAAAACTTTAACTGAAGAATTCAGTCACGTTTCTTGCTTTGGGTCTGCTGAATCATTGACCTTGAATTCTGGGGTTTGATTGGTTTGGTCTTGGGTGCTTTTCTTTGAAGGGGGAGAACTGGGTTTTCTCAAGTTTGCTATCTGGGAAATTGGGTTTGGGTTTCCTCCCCTTGTTGATATTGAAAGCCCAGCTAATGATTGTAAAGATCCACCTTCAACTGTGATATATTGAAGAATTACTTGTGTTTTCAATTCACTTCAATTCTGATACTTTGTTTGTTTTTGCTAAAGGTAAATTTGGATACTTTTGCTCCTGGGATTTTATTTTCCTTTGGATTTTCAAAATATCTGCCCCAAAACGAATTGTGCATATTCATTTCACAGTCAATTTGGTAGCATTTGCAAAGGACCAACCTTTGTATTCTCGGCAAGAATTCAATATTTGTGAATTTTTGGCTGTTTGGGTCATTGTGTCTGAAAATCCTCTTCATCTAGCTTGTGTTTGCTCTTCCCCTTATCCTCAATCTGAAAAAAAAAAGAGAGTATATAATTTGACCGTTGGACAAAATTTTTATTGAAGCAAATATTTGTAGGTGGTTGAGCTGCTTTATAGATTTTCCATTAGCTTTAAACCTTTGTTTTGAAGATTTTTAAGATATCACAAGATGACGATTGGAAATCTTGCACCAAAGAAGGAAAGGAAGTCACGAAAGAACAAAGGAGTTATTGATGAGAATGCCCCCTTGTTGCCCAAAGGACAAGAGGATGTTGTGTTTGATGAGTTTAATGGAGCTTCCTTTACTGGAGCAGTGTTCAATTTATCAACCACAATTGTTGGTGCTGGGATCATGGCTTTGCCTGCAACCATGAAAGTGTTGGGCCTTGTCCTTGGAATTTCCATGATCATCTTTATGGCCTTCTTGACCGAAGCTTCAATTGAACTGATACTTAGGTTCAGCCGAGCTGGGAAGTCTGCTTCTTATGGAGGTCTTATGGGGGAGGCCTTTGGAAAATATGGGAAAATTTTGTTGCAGATATCTGTTCTGGTCAACAACCTTGGCGTGCTCATTGTCTACATGATTATTATTGGTATGTCTTTCACTCTATAATATTGTACTGTATTTACTCTGTTACAATTTTGTCATTTTGATATCTCTGGTTCAGATTTTTGTTGGCCTAGAAATCTGCCCATGCTTGTCATAGGGAAAGGTCTGAATTTGTGTAACAATCTTTGTATTACTTAAATGAAGGTGATGTGCTTTCTGGAACATCTTCAAGTGGTGTTCACCATGCTGGTGTACTTGAAGGATGGTTTGGAACCATGCTGGTGTATTTGAAGGATGGTTTGGAGAACACTGGTGGACTGGGCGTGCCATTATTCTTCTTGTCACCACGCTTGGCATATTTGCTCCATTGTCATGCTTTAAGCGAATCGGTTAGTCTTTATTTATTTTTTATGTTTGAAGGCATTGTTTGGTGAATTGCTATCACTTTCACTTACATAGAGTGATTTGGTTAAGGTAACATATGTTTAGCATATTTATATGAGAACCCTCTTGCTTTAAACATGTGCCCTTCCCCTATTCAGTTTTCACTCTATCACTTTCACTTGCATACAGTGATTTGGTCAAGAATCATTGTGTAGCTTTTGACTCAAGTTGTTGGTGGAGTGGTGATTTATTATTAAATTTTCTAGCTTTATTGAATTTGAGCCTATTATTTGTTAAGACCTTATTCTTTCTTTTTCCATTTGGAATATAATGTTTCGGTGATCTTAATAGGCCTATTATGGTTGCAGATTCATTGAGCTTCACGTCTGCCTTATCAGTTGCACTAGCAGTTGTATTTCTTGTTATTACTGTTGGAATTACGGTCGTTAAGTTGTTCAATGGAAGCATTGCGATGCCCAGATTGTTACCTGATGTTACCGACGTTTCATCATTCTTCAAACTCTTCACTGTAGTCCCTGTTCTTGTCACTGCATACATTTGTCACTACAATGGTATGGAAACTGTTTGTTTGTTCACTTACATAGAGTTCATTAGCCTAGAACTTGGTCCATGTTTCTGCAATATAAGAATGAGAAATTTTAGGTGGATTTGTATGTTTGCGCTTCAGTTCCTTTCTTCCCTTTTCCCCTGTTAAATGAATCACTATTTAGCAAAACATAAATTTGAAGCAAACTTTGAGCAGTAGCATGTCAGATTTCGATGTCAGAATTGAATTGAATGGGTTTACGCACCCTTTATCCACCCAATTCCTGTGTTCTTATTATTGACAATGTTTACTTAATTTTTTTAACTAAATCATGTTAAAATATGTTCTCTATTTTTTGTTTAAAATTAAAACCGTGGCATCTTTAGTCATACAAAATTTGGTATTTTGACACATCTTGATCCTTTTATCATCCTGGCCTTGTACTTTTCCATACCATCACCCAGTGATACTTAAAAGTGATTTAAAATTAACATTTTGGCATAATGTACACACTTGAAACTATAGAAATGGGACTGTTGGTTGAATGTGGGAGATCTCATGTTTGAAATGTTTTTCACCTTTTAATTGCAAACACTTATGTGTTGAGTAATAATCTTCCTGATCAATTCATCTGCAGTCCACAGTATCCACAACGAACTTGAAGACTCGACGCAGATAAGAGGGGTTGTGCAAACCTCACTTGCTTTATGCTCATCTGTTTACATAATGACAAGCCTTTTTGGGTTCCTCCTATTTGGGGACGGAACTCTTGACGATGTGCTTGCCAACTTTGACACCAACCTTGGCATACCTTACAGTTCCGTGCTCAATGATGCTGTTCGTGTCAGCTATGCTGCTCACCTTATGCTTGTGTTTCCCATTGTCTTCTTCCCATTGCGGCTCAACTTAGATGGCCTTCTCTTTCCCTCTGCAAGGCCGTTGGTTCTGGATAATATGAGATTTGCACTGGTCACCATTGGGCTCATAAGTGTTATCTTCTTGGGTGCAAACTTTATCCCCAGCATCTGGGATGCTTTCCAGTTCACTGGAGCAACTGCTGCAGTTTGCCTTGGGTTCATTTTTCCTGCTGCAATTACCCTCAAGTGAGTTTTTGACTTGATCACAAGAACTATCTATTAGTTCAGGTTTTTATTTACTTTGATAACCAATTGTTTTCTTTTTCCAATTTGGAGAATAGTAGATTGCAGAGAATATCCTAGGACTTAAGGTCATCAGATCTCACAGATTTTATGCGTATGCTGCCTTTTTATCTCATAAACATGAAAGGATAGGGATATTATTTACTGGGTTCTTCCCATAGCTAGGTCAGTTTTGTGAATATACTTGGAATTACTATTCATCTATTTTTCCTTGGTATTTCAGGGATCGACACAACATAGCAACTAAGAAGGACAAGATCTTGAGTGTTTTTATGATTGTACTTGCTGTGTTCTCAAACGCGGTGGCCATATATAGTGATGCCTATGCCTTGTTCAAGAATTCATCACGGCGTGAATGATATCCGATGTGAGGACATGCTGGAAGGTGCTCATGTTTTTAGTGAAGATCAACTGGCTGGATCCAAACTGTATTAGAAAACCAGGGTTTTCTGAGAGCGTTCAATAAAAAATAAAGGAACACTCTGCACAATTTATAAAATGTTAGTTTGCTTAGTGCAAGAAGTGGGCGATGGAATTCATTGCCCTCCGCACGTGTGTTGTTGTATTACATTGTTCTTCACATTGAACTCTTTTTTTGTACCAGAATGAAGTGAGCTTTGAGAAATACAAATATGTATTATAAATTTGTCATGCAATTTTCTTTGCACAATTCGTTTCCCCCCTCTATTGTCTAATTTGGTTATTTGTTTGCTTGTTTGTTTATGATGAAAAATAGGAAGCTAGAAGGTGTTCACTTGCTTGTGGACACTTTATCACCAATGAATATGACTGACATTTGACACACTTGCTAAGACAATATTACACTGACAGATTGCAACTGATTCAGTCAGTTAAACTCTTAGAACTGGTTACATTGGGAATTTGACAACAGGTGGCCAACATTAAATTCAAGGGATTTGAAATCGAGAGCAGCAAACAATTATAAGATTGGCAAAAATATGGATTTAAGATTATTCTTCATAGAAAGACCCCTAAATGCTTTGACTGTACAAAGTATATTACACCACCAATTGCTTCACAAAGCACTACTATATACAAATCCAGTAAAACTTTCTTCTATGCGCATCATCATCCATCCACTAATATACATTAAATATCTTAGAAAGAAAAGATACAGCCTGCATGTGTGTATAGGTTATGGGTTCCCAATACTGGTCACGAAAGGCACCAGCCTTTTGTAATCCCTTCTCTTCCCTAGTGCACAGCTGTGAAGAACCCGCCCAAGGATAAGCCGTGTGTTTTGCAAAGCCACTTCTCTAGGTGAAGTTCCAGATTCAGTTGAGCTCCCGTGTGCAGGTGTTGAACCTGCTGCAAATGGGGATGCCATACCATACTGTAGCGGCCCACTGCGAGCCTTAAATGAGGTCTGAGGAGCTAGCATCTTCTCATCACCACCGCCTATCCCGTTCTCAAACGAACCAGGTTCATGAGGGTGAGAACCTGGCACTGAGCTACAGCTCTGCAGAAGAGCTTCTAACACACTCAGTGCCTCCCAGCACAAAGTGCTCTCTACCAACTGGGACACAATCGCATACATGTGTGGACTTTGGGCAGCATCCATGGGAGTGTGCTGGAGCAATGCCTTAAGCATGAGCAGTATCACACGCTGATACCCAACTGGCCCTTTCTCCAGTAGTCGTAATAAGTGCCCAAAAGCCAAAGCTGAGTGCTTTGGGAACCACTCATTGCATAAGAGTGGTGAGACACAAGCAAGGAGGTTGTTGATACTCTTGATATCACCACGAGAGTAAATCATAAATACAGTAGCCAATTCATCTAATGACTTTGCTCTACACCAAATTGAGATGTTGGCCGCAACAGAGCAAGCTTTCTGGAACTGCTGTTGGAGTGGAGAAGCAGGCCCCATCACCGGATCCTTGCTAAGCTGCAAGCAGAGCCAGGGAAGTAAGCCTGTGATGTGCATCAAGAGTCTTGTCTCTGCATCTCCAAATATAGAGTCACATGAGTGCACTGTGATCCGCGAGAGAACTTCAATAGAAACACCATGACTAACGGTTGACATGAGTCCTTTAAGAACAAGAGGCTGCACCCCTTCAAATGTTGGCAGATTTCCTCCAGATGGAGGCTGTTCATAGCCACTCCTGGTTTCCATTCGTTGGAAGTCCCCAATGTCATTATTAGCATCAAACTCATCCCGAGGCATGCTTGAAAGAAGCACATTTTCTGTTGTTCTGTCCCGGAATGATAACCGGTCAATCACACGTGAGAAGAGTTCAAGTACTTGACAGTAGACATGAACAAAATCTGTGTGCATCATAGCTACACACCCCCAAAAGAGTTGTGGGTACAGTATCACTTTTTCTGGTTCCATGTTCTCCACCATCACTTGCAATGTCAGCAAAATTTCCATAATGAATCCTAAAACTGGAGGTACTGGATTTCCTAGGCATCTATGAAGGCACCGGAGAAGCAGCACACATGTATCGCTTGTGACACTAGGCCGCAATGCACGGTAAATCTGATGTGAGCGGCAGGCTAGGTGTCTCGATGTGCACTCCATTGCCCATTTGAGTGCCTCTGCTCCCCAAGTCTCACGAAGATCTCCTTGGAAGAAGATAGCATCCACCATGCTCTGAACTAGTGCAGACAACAATGCTGCACTTGGAAGCTCAGATCTCACAACCGTGGGGTCCTCATTTTCCCACATCATACTTCCTCGCTTTGACTGGACATACTTGATCAGGCTGACAACCTGCTGCTTGTTCTCTCCATCACTATTTTCAACCTCATACAGTTCCAAGTGCCGTCCTGCAAGAGAGTATAGTAGATTAACGAGCAGATGCTGGCAGTGTTCCAGCACAATGTCTTCCGAACTATCCATCGAAACAAATGTAACATGAAATAGAAGAGGCAAGTGCTCGCGAAAATCTTCATCATTTTCGTATGCAATTTCTGCAAGTAGAATCAATGCTATATCTGCATGAGTCAGCGAATGTTGCTGATGACCCTGCAAGGCTGATTGAAGTTCTTTAGCACTAATCCCATGCATGGAAACCCCAGAGTGCAACCCATCTTCACCCGAGTTTGGAGTATCAATAAGGTAGTCTCCACTGTCCCGGGAAACATGGCGACTCCGCAAGCTTCCTGTTGAACTTCTGACCCCCATTAAAGGCCCCGACATATTTACCAGTGCTGGAAGGAGCTGACCTGATCGGCCTGTGTTTCCAGGAACAATGTTCAACTCAGGAGGCATTGGGCCTATTGGGCCTGAGACACTTCGGCCTGTCACACCTGCTGTTCGCCAGCTGAGGCTCCCACTTGCATTTCTTAATGGACCATCAAAGGAACCCCGGACAAGTAATGGTGACATGTGTGGCTGGATGTCCACAAGTGATGCAATTTGGGGCACTGCAGGCCCTTGAGAGAATTCTAGCACAAAATTTCCATTAGCATCAACCTTATTTGCAGTTGGCACAATTGGATCCATGCTATCCTCCAGCATCCGCTGAGCTAACTGGTAAACCAGGTGGTCAATTGTGCGCTGAGGACATACCCGTGCTAAGTATAAACTTACTCGCTTTGCAACAGAGAAATATGTAGCAAATGCACCACTTATTTCTGCAGATGCATTTGAATCACAGTCCTCTATCCCTTTCGTGATCAAGAAATCTAAAACAGGACTAATGTTCCTGGGTTTGCTAGCAATTGTGCTCCAAAGTTTCTCAATTTCATCAGGGAAGTGGTCACCATGCCGCCACGTCACATAGTAAAGGCTTTTTAGTAATCTTTCACTCCAACCTGAGTCCTTAAGTTTCCAGAAATTTAGGTTCTCAATCCAAGGAGCCATGCATGTTAAGACCTGATGCTGTGCAATGATATCAACCGCATCAAGTTGCCTCTGCATAATCTCCTCACACAGGAGCTGACTCAACTCAGGATGGTCTTTGGCAAGCTTGCACGAGAGCTTGTATTGGAATTGTTGGTAAGAATCAGGAAGGTTACCCACAACAGCAGCCCGATAATTCCCTGAGCTCTCAATGCCATCCTCAGCCCACTCGCGAACAGAAAGTGTCTCAAGCATCTGAAGAGCATCATCACGGATTTGTCTTGATGGATCTACCACCTTGTAGAGAATCAGGCTCAAAAGTCTCTGGATTTCACATTTTGGTATCTCTTGGCGCATGTAGACCTCAGCTAGCACACTGAAGTAACCATCAGCTATAGCAGCATCCGAGTAATAGCACTGCAACAAAGTATCAATTTTTTATGTATTTATAAGAATGAAATCCTTATGAGCTATCAATTTAAAAAGCAGTGAACATGCAAGTGAAGACCAGAGAGCGTGTATGTGAACTTTTTCAGCAAAAAAGAAGAAAGCTGAAATTTGACATTTTATTGAAACCAACTGACTTGCAAAGCATTCAGTGGATTCTCAGTTCTTGAATCACCAGTTTACTTTTTAGGAAGTCAGAATTACCTTGTTGATTGTCAAGGTATCATCTGAAAATACGATATATTTACTAATGAATTAACAATTCATCAATTATCTTGTGTAGTACAAAAAAAGTGAATCAAATTATAAAATTCTTAAGTGGGAAGGATAAAAGGAGCTATAGGCCAACAGACTCTGTCTAGCACAGGCTAATCAGCCTTCAGCGGTGCACTCCATAACTGGATTTTCTTACTTGGAAAGAAAACGATAATTGAATAGAGCAAAGGAAACATGAGTACCTGATCAATACAAGCAGGAAACAGGTCCAAATTTGTTTGTAATAGATTCTTCAAAGCCAGTTTTGCTAAAGAAACACGATGATGACCACCCCTATGCCTATCACGACCAGCAGTCCCACGACCACCTTCTCCTGTGTACTTTGAATAAGAGGGAGTTCTTGGGTCCGCTGGAGAGTACCCAAATGGAGCCCTAGGCGCTGGCTCAATGAACAAACTGTTGATCCAAGATATAACCCGACCACTCATCTTCCTCGCATTATCATCAAAGCAAGGCCCGTATAAGAGTGAAGCCATAGCATTCATGGAGGCCCACTGGATTGCCTCAACCTGTTCGCTAAGTTCTTTATCAAATGATATTTTGTCCACAGAATCTTTTGACCGTGCATTCTGAGAAGACTTATAACGTTCTACTTCACGTCGGTAATCACTAACACCTTCTTGACCCCATGTACTGCCTGTGTCATCACACCAGGAGAGAAGCAGATCAAACAGTCGCTTTCTAGTTCTAATATCAAATTTCTCCGATTTTGACTCAACAAATTCCGGGGCTAGTGATCTTAGAACAGAAGCAAGTGCAAAGCGGAGAGGCTGCATATCTTGGAAGTTTTCAGCAGGTGCTGTTAAGATCTGTCTGGTTGTCTCATCAATGAACTTCAGATAGTGGAGACGGAAAACTGGTTTACGGGCCAGCATGCCAGGCCATACATTTTCAGCAACAGTACGAAATATATTTGCAATATGGATACGAAGCTCCTCACGGCGAGATTTTTGACTCTGTATTCATGTGATTTGAATATTATGTTTAGTCATATTCATTGAGAACCAATATCTAACTAATGAAGCACCTTAAGTAACTGATGAAGCAAAAAAAGGGATATTCATATAGTTAGTTAAGTTTTCAAAGAATCAGGTTAACAAAAGTTTCTGCCGACATAAAAACTACTTGACTGAAAGCTG